GTGCGCGAGGGAGCTGAAGAGGAAGCACACAGAGAGTGCTCCCTCGCGCGCCGGCCGTCTGTCAGGGCCAGCCTCTGGGGGGCCCTGAAGTGACCGGCTGCTGGGCCCCCCAGGAGAAGAGGCTGGCCCTGTGGGTACATACCGGGGTCGCAGGACCTCCTGCGACCCGGTATGTACCCACTGAATGTGGGGCCCGGACGACCTTAGCAGTCCGGGCCCCCCAGGACCGCCGGGCCCATGACAACCGTTACGGTTGTCATGCCCTGATGGCGGCCCTGCATAGAAGTAAATCAACAGAATGGCTTAAACAGAAGGAAATACGCCTTCAGAAGTGGCCCAGTCAGAGTCCTGACCTCAACCCAATTGAGATGCTGTGGCATGACCTCAAGAAAGCGATTCACACCAGACATCCCAAGAATATTGCTGAACTGAAACAGTTCTGTAAAGAGGAATGGTCAAGAATTACTCCTGACCATTGTGCACGTCTGATCTGCAACTACAGGAAACATTTGGTTGAAGTTATTGCTGCCAAAGGAGGTCCAACCAGTTATTAAATCCAAGGGTTCACATACTTTTTCCACCTGCACTGTGAATGTTTACATGGTGTGTTCAATAAAAACATGGCAACATTTCATTCTTTATGTGTTATTAGTTTAAGCAGACTGTGATTGTCTATCGTTGGGACTTAGATGATGATCAGATCACATTTTATGACCAATTTGTGCAGAGATCCATATCATTCCAAAGGGTTCACATACTTTTTCTTGCAACTGTATTTGTTTGTGTGTTAAAAATGTAAAAAACAATTATGAACGCTAAGTTTGGTCAGTGTTTGTGACTAAGTGGCTGCTAAAAAAGACTGGACATACCCCATTTGCAATACCTTGGGTTGTCTTCTTTTGCAAATGGTATTCCATCATGGGGTTCATTCTCATTCCTGGGATACCATACGCTCTCAAAGGCAACGTAACCAATTTGCCAAATTTCTAAGTGAAAAAATGGAAATTCAAGCTTTACATTTGACCCTGTAACATTCAAAAACCACTATAAAACCTATATATGGGGGGTACTGTTATACTCAGGAGACTTCGCTGAACACAAATATTAGTGTTTCAAAACAGTAAAACATATCGCAACAATGATATCATCAGTGAAAGTAACATTTGTGTGTGAAAAATGCAAAAAAGTTCACTTTCACTGACAATATCATCGCTGTGATATGTTTTACTGTTTTGAAACACTAATATTTGTATTCAGCAAAGTCTTCCAAGTAAAACAGTACACCCCATGTACAGGTTTTAGGGTGTCATGGAAAGTTACAGGGTCAAAAATAAGATTTGCCAATTTCTGTTTTTGCTAATTATTTGCCAGATTGGCTATGTTGCCTTTAAGACGGTATGGCAGTCCAGAAATGAAAAGTAATTCCACTATGACATACCATTTGAAAAAGTAGACAACCCAGGATATTCAAAATGGGGTAATTCAGTCTTGCCAAAGCTAGTATATATAGCTAGTAAATAATAACTGCTGGGCTCTCTGGCAGTCCCCCCTGACCGGAATCGTAGCGGATCCCCAGTCCAGGTAAGTAAATGGCGCCTATTTGCCGCAGACGTACCAGGTACATCTGAGATCGTTAACAATTGTTTTTTGTCAGACTTACCTGGTACGTCCACGGTCGGGAAGGGGTTAATAAGATATCCTTTATTATAAGAATCTTCAATAAGAATAGAAATTTATTTATCACATTTGCTTTATGGAATAAAATTCCCTACGGTACTTTCTAGCCTCTTGTAAGAATCTAATCCAGTCCCTCGATACTATACTTTCCATTTGTCAGATTTTTAATGACAATATTCTATGTTCGCTTGCATCTAGATTGTTTTCTATAACATATTGACCCAAAAACATTTATAAATACTAAATCAAGGAATGTACTGCCCCTTATTTGAAATTAATTAATACGTTGAATGGGGTTTTACATTTGGTAACTATAGTCTTGGATCACTTATTAAAGATACACCTTAATGGCCTTTCACTTCAATCAACAATATTACATTATAAAAGATCCATTTAAATTGTTATTGATTGTCTATTCCAGCAGTTCCCCAAACTGTGTGCCGCGGTGCCCTGGGGCTCCCCGATGGGCACGTAGGGGCGCCGTAAAATGTTTCCCCAGTGCTATCATTATAGCAACAGAAAACATTTCTGCTTAACAGGGGCCCGGTCAGGCGCCCTGTAGTGTCGGCAGGCTGGGAGGAAGTTACAGTCTGTCACTTTCTTCCAGCTTCATGAAGGGAGACAGCATGGGAAGGACAGGAGGAAGCCGAAGCATGAGGGGAGAGGAGCACAAAGAGCTGCTCCAGACCCCTCACTCCCACAAGCCAGCAGGATCAGGACTCCAAGGTAAGCTAACAGAGAGATAAAAAAAATCACTTGTATGTGTATGTCAGATTGTGTGTGTGTGTTTGTTTCAGGGTGTGCGTCTGTGTGTGTGTGTGTGTGTATATGTCAGTGTGCTTCAATGTGTATCTGTGTCAGTGTGTTTGTGTTGTGTGTGCGCACAAGTCTGTGTGTCAGTGTGTGTGTTTTTATGTCAGTGTGTGTGTCTGTGTTGTGCTCCTCCTTTCAGTATTATATGATTATATTAGCGGGCTTATGGAAATGGGGCTTTTGCAGTGAGCACCCTTATCTGTATTCGTTTTCTTTGTTCAGTGTTCATGGCGGTTAACTGGGTGTGCCCACCTCTCTTATTAATACAGTGTGTGTATCTGTGTCATGGTGTGTGCATGTGACAGTGTTTGTGTGTGTCAGAGTGTGTGTATATGCCAAAATCAATAACAGTTAATTTAAAATGAATTTAATATTTCAGGACAAAATAGCTGAATTAAAAAAATGCACCTAGTCAGCTACGCTTCCAGCTTCTAAAGGCCTAACATTTAAAATTCACCATCAACTCTCACTTCATTGAATTTCATGCATCATTATTTCCATCTCACAGAGAAGCATTAGACTGACTGCACATACAGTATGTGTCTGCAATGCGTCTCTGTGAGAAGCATTTGATTGAGGTTGATGACTTCACATTAAGATGATTGGAATTCAGCGAGAATTCTGTTTTTCTTTTGTGTGTTTGTTTATTTTTAATGGGGGGGATTAAAGCAGTTTTCACCATCCACATATCATAAAATCTTTTTCAGTATCACAATATCTTCCTGTACTTCGCAACAACAGTAACAATCAAATACGACAGCCGCAACTTGAAGAAATGACGGGACACTTTCGTGAACGTGGATACACTAAACATTACATGAAGCACAGGAACGTGTTTTTAAGATTCGGCAAGCTTATATTTTACAACAAGGAAATACCAGTACAGAGAGAATAGAATTGTTCTACCTCTCACATACAATTCAGCCACTCCGAATATTCGAAATACAGTGTAAAAAAAACATCAGAGACATTTTAGTACTGACTGATTCTAAACATTGTTATAAAATTTCTCAGAAGATTATTAAACCTGGTTGTTACAAATGTACTGGCTGTGTCACTTGCAGCTATTTGATAGGGGAAGCATGTTTGTCCATCCACATAATAGAAATATCCATTAAACACAATATTACCTGTACCTCGGTTCATGTTATCAATATAATCACATGTCCCTCTGGGCTACCCTACGTTGGTAAATCAATCTGTCAAGAGAGTGCATCAGAGGGCATTGTTCAACCATTACTACTGCCTTCAGGGATGGCAAGACAGAGAAACCTTTTTACAATTCCAGCACTTCGATTCACAGTGATTGATCAAATACCACTGTTAAGACCTGCAGTGGTTATGGTGCTGCGGTCTTTAGTTCCCTCTCCCAACAGCTGAGCATGAGTGATTATAGCTGCAGCAGGAGTAGAGGAATAAGATAGATGAAATGCAATTCCAAGGTGATTCTTCCCAGCAAGTAGACTATCCCCCAAACATGAGCCTAGACTTCATGAAGGGTGTAACAGGAATAACTTTTATTGACAACACACAGGCTTTTTTGAGAAATCCTCCTGCAAGAGGACCTCCCACAGCAAACAAAGACAATAACCAATCAACACACAGATTTACAGTAATACACGCCTCCTCTCTGCCTGGGAGATATTGAGATAAGTTAAGGAATAAACCAATTATCTCCAGGCATAGAGCACACAATTTCCCCAAAACTTAGAACACCCCTTTCCCCACAAATGAGTGATAGCCCCGATCTGGGGGACAATCATATCCAAATTTCACCCAGATCAGTTCAGGGGTTCTGAAAAAGTGTGGAGGGTCCCTTTTACCGATCACACACGCAGCTCCTGCCCGAAACAGTTCCATGAATTCAGCGTGTGCGGTCGGTCAATTCACAAAACTGCAAAAAACTAACAAAAGTCCCGAATGGATCCCCTTGGCCCATAGTAGCGATTGCTCCCCTTGTCCGTTCGCACAGAACTACCGAATGAGGCTTTCCTGGCTGTTCGGGAAATATGAGAATCCGGCGTTCGGTAGTTTCCAGCGGTAGTTCGTGAGATTGAGTGTCTGATTTTAGTTCCAGACACTCGACGACCAAGTCCCGCTGGCTCTCCTCGTGCGAACAAGATGGCCGCCCATTAACTTTGCTCCAGAAGTTATAAAGGAATTTGAAAAGTGTAATAAAAAATGGGCAAGATAATGCTCTTATGGCAAACGCTCATTAAATCTGCATCAAACCAAATCCACACATACATCAGTTTGAAAAGTCTATAAAGAAACCCACAGAACTTTCACAGAGATACATGTAAGAACCAATGGTGAACCCAACTCACACTGAGAACAAATATTCGGTGACCTTCATTGATGACTATAGATGTATTATATCCTGTAATAACTTTATTACAGAGTTTATAGTCATTACCAGCAGTAAATTCCAAAGGAAATTGAATAATCAGCAAAACCAACAGGGAAGGTCATATAAGTAAGGAAGAAACGCAAAACATTTAAGATAACAAGTCTGTGATGGAGCTCCTGTACTCCAACCGAGTACCTCCACCCAGTCTGCTTGATAGCGGCTTGCCCTGACCCTGGGATGCTTCAGCCCCAGTCGCCGAAGCTTGACTGAGGTCTTTTCCTTCCAGGCAGGTATCGTTTCCTCTGCCTACTCCTCTGCAGCTTTCCTTCCAGGCAGGTATCATCTCCTCTGCCTATTCCTCTGCAGCTCTCCTTCCAGGCAGGTATCGTCTCCTCTGCCTATTCCTCTGCAGCTCTCCTTCCAGGCAGGTAGCGTCTCCTCTGCCTATTCCTCTGCAGCTTTCCTTCCAGGCAGGTATCATCTCCTCTGCCTATTCCTCTGCAGCTTTCCTTCCAGGCAGGTATCATCTCCTCGGCCTATTCCTCTGCAGCTCTCCTTCCAGGCAGGTAGCGTCTCCTCTGCCTATTCCTCTGCAGCGTTCCTTTCAGGCAGGTATGCACATCTGCCTATTCCCCTGCAGCTCTCCTTCCAGGCAGGTATGCACCTCTACCTGCAATGTGATTGCTCTTGTCTTTATAAAGACACTAGTGGCTCTCAGGCCTAGCTCTCTTTTTAATTTGCACACAAAACATTTAACCACAACCAACTATATTATACACCCTGCACCTATAATGGGCACAAGGAGACTAAAAAAGAAAAACAAATCAAAGTGTCATTCTGATCCCAGTGATCAGAAAGGCAACAAACACCAATCAATTGCACCACACGCCCGAATAGGGACCTAAATAATAATAATGCCTGTAACGGATCACCTGGCACCTCGACTGGGTACCTCCATTGAAGGATGCTCGTAGCGCTTCCTGAGGCTCCAAGCACTGCAGCAGACACCATAACCACTGTAGACTCCTCCAGAGAGCAAGGCAGGAACAAGCTCTTAAAAGAGCTTAGTAGTGCATGCAGAGCATGGCAATCCCTTGTAGTGATATTGCAATCCCCCCAATAAGAGACAGGACTCTAGATTGAGGGTGAAGAAGAACTGAATTTACTTGGCACCAAAGGGCCTTCTTTTATGCAGGTTTTCCATTTATAGTACCACCCACAGGGTTTTTCAGAACAACCAATAAACACATTACAACACATACAATGCAAGTACAGCAGCCAATCAGACACGATGGGACAATAGAAACATACCCAGCATATTCCTCCCTTCTGCTTAAGAGATAATTGGGTCAATTACTGTATCTTCTCAATTATCTCCAAGCTGAAAAGTTACACTTTTTATAAATTTTTATAACTTTGTGAGTTTACATCGTACATACATAAAACGTATATTATTATAACCAGTATAACTTGAGGACAAACATATCCAAAATTGAATAGGATCAGGGGTTTAAAAGTTAGGTCGAAGTCCTTTGTTATCACTTGCAAGCATGGCTTTTCCTGCCCAAACTAGTTCCCACTGGTCTGGCAGTGTCCCTGGGACAACTCCCTGATGGAGAACAATGGAGCTGGGTGAGGAGAAGAGCCACACCTTCCCAGGGATTCCAAGGGGAAGAAAAAGTGTCCAAAAAGTTTCAATATGTCCATACACTGGTTTTAAAGGGCCAGCACCGTACAATAAAAGTCCATAAGCCCAAATGGACGGGTACAATCTCCAAGGGGCCATAGTCGCAGAGCAGGAGGCTGGCAAGCAGGCCTCTCCAGGACCAAGTGGCGAAGTGCACTTCGTCACAATGCCTAATAAGAAATTGTTTGTGTAAAAAAAAAAAAAAAAGAATGCAAATAAGATTTTTAGTAACCCTTTAAATATATTAATTTATAATACGGGTCCAATTACAAAACAATATATTGAAAATGGCACACACAAACACATTATTTTATACATTATTATACATTATTTTAGGAATTGGTATTATGGGTTATTCCTTTATATGCAGTGCAACAGAAAAGAATGGGCTACATAATAATTACCTTATGATTAAGACCTTGAAAAAGATTTAGAAATGCTCAAAAGGATTGAACAGAAGCTGGAATATTAAGGTAAATCAAAAATCTGCAGGAGGACTGCTAAGCTTAGGTTTCACATGAAAATTGCAGAATGTCCTTTCAATTATTTTCCAATGAGCTAGTCTAATGGACTTTAAAATAAATTGCTTAAAATATTTTATATGAATATACGCTACATTTATTTCAATTAACTAATGACATCTAATGTTATAAAATTATTTTTCGTTTAATGTTTTCTACAGGAACATAGGCATTGCAATACTTGTGTAAGAGAAGATACTGAGATGAATAATTTGTGATAGCAATTATTAGGCCAACGTATATAATTATAGGTTGTTTTGTAGTGGAGGCCTTCAAGACCTCAACTATTTCTTTTTGACATATCTAAGAACTGTAAAAAAGTACTTGTTCCATCGACAAAAAAATAATTATACCTTCCAAATTAAATAAAACATGTCTAATAGCATATTTGCCACATAAAACCCCATTTCATATAAATAATATCAAATAATTGGTTGAAGTAAAAGATTTCCCAAAATAATGAAATAAAGGTAAGAAAGTAATTTTTCTCCTATTGAGAGTCCTGATGGAAAATACTAATTTTCACCATCACTTGACATGTGTTGCACTTCTTTTTCAAGAGCTGGTCAAGGTTATGGATCAAGAGATTGGAAAAGCTTCCGACCATTCATCAATTGCAAGCCACATCTACTTGCCCAGCTATTAATACCACTTACCTACTAGGGTTTCAAGATGAAAGAGCTTATGTAGAAAGGTCAATAGTTTATACTAGGGATTGAGACCCTCCGTAATTATTTGTTGCCCACCACCCATCGAAAAGAAGTTGGGTGACTGTAATGGAGCTCCTTGTATTCGGACTGGGTACCTGTGCCAGGTCAATAAACAAATAAAAGATACATTCCTTTATACAAAATAGGAAACTTTAGTGATAACATCACATGTCACTGTGACTGACAGGTGTTTCGGTTTTGGCCAGTGATGGACACAATCTAAAGTTAACTCTGAGTCTCTCAGATTCGATAGGGCATTTCAATAAATCTAACACATACTCCACCAAATCCTGTTGTTTAAACTCCTTGGAAACTCCTCATATCCTAATGTTATTACATCTGACCCTGTGTTCATGGTCTGCTATGTTTTCCTCCTGGCACTGCTATTTTACTTCTAAAGTGGTATAGGCATCATCCAAGGAATTATGGGCATCTTTTATTTCCTCATTTTTTTCTTCCAGGTAAGATGTCCGATCTAATGTCTGAGGTCAATTTGGAGAAGTCTGCTTGTAAGGAGGACTTCAAATCATTCAGCATTTTCCTCACTGAAGAGTCCCTGGCTGTACTAGGTGGAAGAATAAAACAGGGTTAGTGTTCATCGTCATTGTATTCAGGAGGGCCCCTTTAGGTGCCAATGTTAAGTAGCTCAGGTTGTATGCCACACTGCATTGAGTCACTGTCTTGGAGAG